GACAGAGTAGAACTGCCCCATAGGGTTTCCAAGGAGCAGCTGGTGAATTCAAACTGCTGACCTTTTGGTTAGCAGCCGAGCTCTTAACCACTGCACCATGAGGGCTCCTTCTGGCAGTCCATAGTATGTATATTCAATATTCTTTGTCAACACCATAATTCAAAGGCATCAATTCTTCTTTGGTCTTCCTTATTCACTGCCCAGCTTTCACATGCATATGAGGCAATTGAAAATACCATGGCTTGGGTCAGGTGCACCTTAGTCCTCAAAGTGACATCTCTGCAACACTTTAAAGAGGTCTTTTGTAGCAGATTTGCCCAATGCAATGTACTGATTTCTTGACTGCTGCTTCCATAGGTGTTGATTGTGGATCCAAGTAAAATGAAATCCTTGACAACCTCAATCTTTTCTCCATTTATCATGATGTTGCTTATTGGTCCAGTTGTCAGGTGGTTACCAAATTTGTCTGTACATTGGAATCATCAAATATACTGAAGCCTAGGTCTCACTACTAGAGATTATAATTTAATTGATCTGAGGGTGCAGTCTGGGCTTTGGAATCTTTAAAAGACCCTCTAGGTGATTCAAATGTACAGACAAGTTTGGAAGCCAATGCCTCAAAGTTTTGTTGTGGAGGATTTAAGATTTGCAGATTACGTGGTAACTTACTTTTTCTTTGCAAGTATTGGTTTGCCAAGAACAGAACTGGTGATAGTGGTGGGGCCAGGACAGCCTGGAAGACTTATCTGGGCCTCAGTTTCCTCATCTATAAAATAGGGATAACCATATCTAGTCTACAAAATTGACAAGCTTTGAAAATTATAAAGTACTGCCCAAGAGCTTATGCACATACATACATTCTCCATCTTCACATCACACTCCACTCCCCACCACCTTTTGCAACAGGGCCCAGTGTAGTTTCTTTGACTTATTGGCACTGCAGTAAGTGAGGGTAGTAGGAGTAGGGACAAACCTAGAGATCTTCCCAACAGGGAGGCAGGACAGGGCCTGACCACCATAGGAATCCAGAAATACAAACCACCCCTCACAAGCATCTCCTAGGCCCCAATGCCAAGCAAAGCCCAGGGGCATCAGTATGGCCAATGTGGGGCCTACATCCACACTGCAAAAGTTGGCCTGGAGCTGTGGAAAGGGCATAGGCTATTGAGTCAGACAGTTCTGTGACCTGGGGAGTAACTTCACTTTTATAACTAGGGATAATCATATCCACCCGCATGGGATGTGAGGATGGAATGGGATCAGGGACATGAAGGGGTCTATAGAGTGAAAATCATGGTGAAGTATCTTACAGCCACACACACATGCCACAAAGAAAGATCAAGTCACAGTAAAGTATTCCTAAACTTTTAATGGCACTGAAATAGAACATAGGGTCAGCATAAACACCTCCAAAAAACGTTTTAACCACCCCCAACAAAATAAAAAAAAAAAAAAACCCTGAATACAAAATATAATCTTTCTCCTCAGCCACCCTGGGGGTGAGTTATTGCCCCTAAGGCAGCTAGGTTGCCCCACAATTCCAGGTTAGAATTTAGCCAATATAGGGCATATTACAAAGAGAGTGTCAATATAACTCACAGCAAAGCACACAAGACTCCCCAAGGTCAGGCAGGGAGGAGGGAGCAAGGCAGGTGGGCTCTGGGCTAAGGGCCCTGTATGGAGGGACAGGATGTCCCCTTTGTAGACTAAGCCCTAGTGAAAAGGCAAACAGGACAGAAAAACAACATACCAAGTACTTTAAGAATGGATTGTATGACCTATAGTGACAAGTGACATCACTAATACTGAAAGCTTCTTACATTAATATTTCTGTCAAAACATCCTTTTATAATACAGTATACACTTCTTAGGTGTGGGAGTAGTAAGGGAATGAGGCCAATATAGTCCTGTCCCAAGACTAATATCTTCTAATGGTACATTAGCAAGATAGGCAGAAATCAATACTGAGTTAGATACTAGATACCACTGGAATATGAAATACTGGTAGGAAGAAAAAGAGCACACACAAGACAGAGTGGAGAAGGAGGCTGCTCCTGAGTTAAGGGCAAGGGATGGAGATGTGGAAGGGACCAGACAGCCTAAGCAGCTTCCTGGTTTACAGTTCCAAGAGACAGCACAACTGGTAGGAAGACCCGGGTTGAAGGTTTGTCAAATGGAGGCAGAGCCCAGTCACTACCTTGGAAGAGGGTGATGGTAAGGGACTAATGGGTACCTGACGGGGTTGGGCAAACTGTGGGATCAAGGCCAAGGGCTTTTCTCACCACACTTAGCTTCCTTTCACCCACCTGCCAATTAAGCCAACCAGTACCAAGGTCCAGGGCTCACCAAGTCAAGGCCTAGATGGTGCTGAAGCAGGAGCTGTGGCCCAAATAGCTTTGATGGGGAAAGTGATCTGGGGGACCCTTGGCAGGAAAAATACTGAAACCAGGTGTGAACATTTCCTCTCTTTTGGAAAAAATCCCTGAATGGGGCTGGCTGGGCTTTTGGGTACCTGTCCCTATCATTCTAGCTGGAGGAGATTTGGGGAGGACTGGGGAGGACATATCCCAAGAAGAGAAGCAGCAGCCCAGGGACCCAGGATAATAAGGGTGCCTCTGCCCACAGAGCTCACTTGACATAGGCCTAGACTCTCATAAGGCACTGGGGCAGGATCTTCTACCCAGCTTTGTCTGAATAGAAAGGCCAATGGCCTTCTGGGATGTTGATAAAGCCTCTTAGAGGCACCATCTTCCCCACCCCACCCTGGGAGAAACCAAGTCCCTGAACTCAAGGACAAGGATTATTGGAACTGAGTTTGTAACAGACCCAATCTGGGAGGTAGAAACAAGAATGACTGAACATTTCTTTACCCTCCAATGACTACAAAACCTAAATAACTCTAGAAGGGATGGACGTTGGGAGGCCAAATCCTAGGTCAGCTGATATCCTAGAGTAGATTTCCAGGGCCCTGCCTCCTTCCATAAACCGTGTCATACTCCAACTCCCTGAGTCACAGGACCCTGAAGAGGAAGGCAGTAATGGGTTAGGGAAGGGGGACTAGCTTTCAACCTATCCCACCCTTGACTCCCACAAAACAATAGTAAGTGTGGGGGTGTTTTCCAAATCAAGCGGGAAATGCCTCTGATCTGGGGAAGTGATCTCTCCTAGCAGACTAAAGGGGACAGAGAGGGGAAAGGGAGTCCCATTGGCACCACAATGGGCCATTTTTCTGCCCAGGGAAGTGGGTGGGGGCTGAGGGGCTAGGTTTGGTCCCATGGCTTCACTGAATGCTTAGCATGACTTCACGGCTGCTCTAGTTAGTGGCTCCAGCACAGTGTGAGTAAGGCAAGGGTGTAGGAGTGTGGGGGCAAGGAAGAAGGGAGGAGGGGTCTCTAGAAGCTGGGTGCCCACTACATGGACTCAAACTCATCAATGCGCTGCTTGGTGTTGCCCTGCCGGATTTGGCGTAGGGTCTTGTATTTGTCTCGGCCCAGCCGCATGTTCTCAGCATGGATCATATCATTGGCAGTCTTCTTGGACTCATCGCGGGCATTGGCCAGCTCTGAAGTGAGGGCCTGTGAGGGGACAGAAGGATGCAGGGGTCAATGGCTTCCTGTCATTTTACCTCCCCTTATTTGACCAGATTTCTCTCTCTCTCCTTTTGAGAGCCATTTCCAACCCTGTTAGGACCACAATGGGGAGAGCATAAAAAAACAAACCAAAACATAGGCAACCACATGACAATGGGTATCCCCTGAAATTAACAACCTACCACAGATTCAGGTAGAAATTGTGTCAGCTACATATTTTCTGAATGTAAGAGCTGAATGGAATGGGAATTTGGGGGGACGGGGCAGAGAAGGCAGGTCCCAAGAAGGGAAGAGGTGGCCCAAGGCCTGATTAACAAGCAGGGGTGCCTGCCTTTAAAGCTCTCACTTTAGAAAAGCTCAGGTTCCCATAGAGCACTGGAACAGGCTCCTTTACCCATTGCCTCACAATGGTCCAGGCAAGTCCATGGTCTCCTTGACCCTCTGGCCCTGCCTGCATACCTTCAGGTGCTTCTGCACACGCTCATTCTTCTCTGCCTCAGTGGTACGTTCCTCCTCACTACGGTCCTTGGCCATGGCATCAGCCCGCAGATCAGCACTAGCCTCTGCCCCATTCTCATCCTGCTCATCCTGCTCATTCTCGGCAGGTTCCGCCACATGAGGTGTACTCATGGCAGTCTTCAGCTCGGCACGGGTCTTCTCCAAGTCCTCTTGTACCATCTGGGCCTGTCCAGTGACAGAGGGAGAGAAGAACCAGCAGTGAGACTAGGCTAACTTGCAGTGTCCTGCCCAGAAGGAGGCAGGCACCAAGTAGAACAAGTCACTTCATCTTCCTCAGCTGTAAAAAGCAATTTTACCAACCTCCCAGGGTATTGGGGAATTCTGGGAAGTATTTGAGAAAGCCTTGAGCTCCTTCTCCTGTGATGCCTGATATTAGGGAAGAATGAAAGCGGGAGGAAGCCCAAATCTAAGGAATCAAAGAAGCCAGAACCTATGTATGTAGTACCCCTTCTCACAATGCATTGCTTTGGGCACTATGCCTTACCTTCTGCTGCCACTCCACAGCCTCGCTCTCCTTCTTCTGTCGGGCCATCTCCAGCTGGGAGATCCGAGCTGTCAGCTCTGCCATTTCCAAGGCCTGTGGATAAACAGCTCCACTTACTTGCTGCCCTGGAGGCTCTATTTACCAGACCACTCCACTCTAGCCCCATCTTCCCTTCAGGTCCTAGCACAATCCTCACCTGCCCCAGGAAGCCCTGTGGAACACTTCTATCCTCAAAACTACTATAAAAAAACAAAAACCAAACCCATTGCCATCAACTCATAGCAACCCTCCAAACTACTTCCTTATATGTCATAGCTCCCCACCTAGATTGTAGGCCTTCTGAAGACAACACGTCATCTCTCTCTCTTTCTCATCTCTCTCTCTTGGTATTGCCTAGTACGTAGCTGGGATCTCAGTAAAGCTTTGGAGATTGCTGAGTCACTACCTGAGGCAGCAGACCCTTCCCCACTATCCTAGAATGTTCATGGCTCCACTAAGACTCTCCCCAGAACAAGTATAGGAAAGACATTAAAGGGTCACAAAGGGAACTGAACAAGGAAAAAAGCTTATACATAACCTCACACCTTGGGCAAATCTCCCAGGGGAACCTTCCCCCTGAGAGTTAGACCTTAGTTCCCTTCACCCCCACTCTAAACAGTACAGGGGAATAACATGTCAAGGGATTTGGGCCAGAGGTTCTTAACTTCTGGGTCACATAACCTTTGGAGATTGTGATGAAAATGTAAATACCCAACCCCTTCCCTGAAAAATTCATAGATACACAGTTTTGCACATGCTCTAAGGGAGCAAATCCTTCAAAAGGAGACGTAAATGGGTTTTATTTACTCAGCCACAACTGTGTGACCTTTGGCAAATCTCTTAACCGCCCTGAGGCCCAATTTCCTCATCTGCGTGTATTATCCCATATGAGTTAATCCCATAGGGTTATTGGGAAAAGGAAATAAGTAAGGAAAAGGGAAAAGTTGCTAGGATAACTCTTAATACACAGTAGGTGCGCAATTAAGTGTTAATCCCTTTTCTTCTTTCCTTCCTCCCTTCCTTTGCCAGTTCATCAGATTATATTCCCAAAGGCTAAGAAAATGGAATAAAAACTAAGGGTTAGGGAGGGCTGCTTGCAAAGGTTTCTGGGTCACAACAGTGACTTCTCAGCTTGCTTCTGAATGAGCTATCTGCTGGAGGCCTGTGGAGTGGTACCCTGGTGGAAAAAGCCAGTCTAGCAGGCAGAGCTGGCTGTAAATAGGCAGGCAGACAGGGGGAGGACTCAGGCCCCACAATTCCAGACCATCCTATAGCTTTACCAGCTGCTCCTGGGTTTTCTTCTGGTCCTGAGAGGCCTGCAGCAGGGCCTCCTTGGCCTCTTCGGCTTCTTGACGCTCCTTGGCCAGCTTCTCAGCCTCATTCTGGGCACGCTTCCGCTCCTGCTCAAGTTCCAGGGCCCTGCGGGTCTGCTCTTCCAGTTCTGGGAAGAAGAGGGGAAAAGGCAGTGAAAATTGCAGGATGAAGAAGGGACGGACACCTAGCTTCCTTCCTGGAAATGCTCCACCCCAGGGAACAGCTGGCAGAAGGCTCTGGGCACTATTCCTCTTGCCCTATCCCTTATCTATTCTGTGACCACACCTGGACTACAAGCTAGAGGGATCTCCAGCTCATGGAGTCAGGCTCTGGGGAAACCCAGTCTCCAAAGTGGCTCTAAGTCTCACCTTGCTGAGCCTTCTTAGTCTGTTCCTCAATCTGCTTCAGCCTCTCCATCAGTTCTTCCTTCTCCCGTTCAATCTTCTCCTTCTCCTTTTCTGCCATTTCACGCTTCTTCTTCTCATTTTCCAGCAGAGCGCTAGGGAAGGACAATGAAGGGATGGAACAGGATAGCAGGGCTGCACTGAAGCCTTGGAATTCCTAATGTTAGCTTGGTCCTGGACTTTCAGCCCCCACCCTTCCAACATACCCAGAGTTTTTGAGCTTGTACCACTCTCCCTTACCTCCACATCCTTGTCCTCACTAACTATATAGTCCCACATGGACCAGTATGCTCAGGGCCCTGTCAATTTGCCCCAGTGTCAGGAGACGCAAAGTGGAATTCCAGCTCTGCCACTAATCCACTGGGTGATCTTAGCTATGTTGCTTCTTTATTCTTGTCCTCAGTTCCCGTCTGTAAAATGGCCTAGTAAAGCTGCAGTGCAATGGGTTTCTCTTATATATGGCCTTTCTGGCCTTGGGTTTGTAATTCTGCCAAAAATGATTGGTTGGGCTGCAGTTTGCTCTGTGATTGGTCTACTTTATGCACCTTGCCGGAACTGGTTGACTTGTTATGCAAAATAGTGGCTTAAAAAGCCACCCAATAGGATTGAGTGACTTTCAGGGACTGGTCAGTTTGTAGTCCTGCTGGAAGGGCTATGCCTTGAAATGGACAAGGAGTTTGCTTATATAAGCAGACAACCCCACAGAGGTTTTTAGAGGCGATAAGGGAAGAAGCAGAGAGAGAGGCAAAGAGACAGAGAGGAGGAGGGAACTTCCTAAAAGAGCTGTGATACAGGTCAAGAGCTGTAACACTGAAGACAGCGCAAGATGGCAGCAAGCACAGCAGAGCTGAGTGGCAGAGAAATGGCAACAGCAATACGAGCGACAGGAACCACGAGACTGGCAGGCTGTGGCAGTGGGCAAGTCAACCCATGGAGCAGAGATAGGCATCTCCAGGCAGGAGGTCACCAACAGAGTTGGGTGCCTGACAAAGGAGAAGCAGCCACAGTCCAGGCCTGTGCAGGTGAACACCCAAGCAGAGCAAGCAGCAGTATGGGGGCTGAGCTGGCCTGCCTCTGGCAGTGGCAGATGCCCCAGCTGTGCTGAGAACTGTAACCCTTAAGGCTGAGAGGGGATCAGGCCTGAGGGCCACAGAGGAGGCTGAGAGGAGGCCTGTCCTGAGGGGGCCAAGAGGAGGCTTGTCCACGGAGACCTACTAGCCTAGCAGAGAGCAGCTGAGAAAGCTGTCCTGGTTGGAAGCTGTCCTGCACTGAAGAAGGGAGAGATGTGCTCTCTCTCTCTGGGGAGCCCTCCATGCCTTGCCTATGTGCTTCCTGATCCTGATCCTGAGTTGTTCTTGTTACTTCTTTGATCCTGATCCCGAGTTATTTCCTGTTACTTCTCTAATAAACCTGATAACTGTGAATACGGTCTGCGAGTTCTGTGTGGCCGTTACAACAAATTATTGAACCCATCAGAGAAGTAGAGAGTGCTATGGGGGGTAAGGGGATGGCTGGTGTCAGAAATGGTGAAAAAGTTGGAGTGGAGGTATGTCTGACTTCCACCTCATAGGAACCTTCTTTGTGCTGATCCTGATTCTCATCCTTCATGAATTTAAGTGAGTTTTGATGCTAGATTATAAAAGCCTACCCTGTCTACCGTGTACCATTACAGCGAGACAAGTTTGGGGTCTGTACTGGCATGCTGTGCTTCAAGTCTAGTGATCTCTGTGGTTAAGACATCAGCCCTCAAGCCTAACTCTGTCTGTCCTCTGAAGCCCAGCTCTAGTACAGTCTTCCCAGAATTTGTTGCAAATCTAGGATATTTGCTTTTTCTTGCCCTTGCACTTCTTCCAGGGGGCCTTACAGTCCATCTTGCCTATAATTCTTTTCTACCTCTGAGCCCTCAGAATACTTGGCCTACCCTACCACTCTCCCACATCCCTCTTCCCTATTATTTTTCTCCATAGTACTTCTTATCATCTCACATTATTATATAATTTGCTCATTTATTATGTTTATCTCCTCCCACTAGAATGGCAGCTCCATGAGAGCAGGGATTTTTGTCTGTTTTTTTCACTGCTCAGTAATTATTGAATGAATGAATGACACAACATTTGTACCTTAATCAGTTATGTATATACTATTTTTTCTCCTCTCTCTCCTACTAGACTGTGAGGTCCTAGAGGACAGGGTTCCTGCCAGATCCAGCTCTGTAAGCTTCCTCTCAATCTGGGTCAATTTTTTTTTCTGAATAAATGTGAACTTTGGGGTCTAATCTCTTATAGATGGAGTCATTTTCCAGCCTACTAGATTAGAAGCCTCCTGAGGTTCCAAACTCTTTATGACAGAATACCTACTAGAGTTGTGCTTCTCAAAACTTAATGTACCTAAGAACCACCTGGGATCTTAGGATACAGATTCTGATTCAGTAGGTCTGGGGTAGGGTCTCAGATTTTGCTTTTCTAACAAGTTTTCAGGTTATGCTGATGCTTCTGGGCCTTAGAATACACTTTGAGTAGCAAGGGGCTACAGCGCAAAGACATGGGGCTTCTTAGGAAAATTATGCCCAGTTCTACTCACAAAACCCTACAGACTCCAGGTTTAAATGTACATGGAACCCTCTGATACTGACACTATACTGGTCAGACAGCCTGGAGCAACCTAAAGCTCACCCAGCATAGCAAGGGCATGAGGGTCATAGACAAGAATGCCCTTCTTCCTGTGAGACTCTGGAAGCCTAGGCTCCTGATACCTACTTCCCAGGAACAGGAGTGCCTTGAGACTTCATTGGAGAAGGGGAGTCTTCCTTGCCCAGCTCTCTCTCCCTTCCAGTCTTAGGTTCACTTCATGACCTGACTTAGTAGGCTTGGCACCTTTGAGAAACCTCCTTGCCCCAGCCCTGGCCCCCACTCCAGCTCTACAGCACCCACCGTTCCATCTGCTTCTGGTGCTTCTCCTCCCGGGCCTGTGCCTTCATCTGCTGCACCTCAATGGTGTCGGGCTTGCGGCGACGCATGTATAGCTCATGGTTTCCCATGCATAAAGCCAAGATCCGCTTGTTAATCCGCAGCCGGGGGGCATAGAAAACAAAGTCCTGATGGGAAACCAGCAATCATAAAGAGTTTGGAGGGACGGGTGAAGATGAGCTTCTATCTTCTGAAAAGCTAAACCCAAAAGCACTGGAAAGAGTCTTTCATCCAATTTGCTTGTGTTACAGATGGGAAAACTAAGGATTGGAGAGGTGAAGTGACTTGCCCAGAGAAGACAGAAGGTTAGTGGCAGGGTCAAAACTGGACCCTAGGCTTTTTGACTCTGAAATCAGTGCTCTGTCCACCAAACCACAATTTCTTTCAGCCTTTGCTTACGAAAAGCATACGGTTGAAGGATTGGAACAGGTTTTCTCTGCTAATTAGGGATCCTGCTGGGTCTCAGGGGGCCTCTCTTACAGGCCCAATAATCCCCACATTTAATGCCCTGGGTAGGTGCAGTGTGAGTTGCTGGACTACTTCTGTAGCCTTGAAAAAGCATATCTTATATCTAGCCCCTTGAATCTTTTTGGAACAAGGCAGCTTATAAATACATTGCGTGTCATGTTTTGCTTTTCTAATTTAATTTTTTTTATTTCAGTTGGCTTTGTTACTTACCTTTTTCTGATGAAAGTGGAGCACAGCAGCAATAAAACACACACACACACAAGAAAATCCAGTGATTTTGGGTTTTTTACTATAAATACCACTGGACAAAGGTCACCAACTGATGCCTAACCACCACCTTCTCTGCCATTGAATCCAAACTGCTATTGTCTCACATAGCTTGGGATGCAGTAAAATGAGCACAAGCTTTAGGGGCCAAATGGCTTAGGTCTGAATCCCAGCTCTACCATTTCCAGCTGTGTGATCTTGGGCAAATCACTCCACCTCTCTGAGCCTCAGTTTCATCAACTAAAAGACGGGTATGCTGCTACCTGACCTGACAATGTTGTTGAGGGTTTAAGGAGAAAACATACGTAAAGTGCCTAGCAGGAAAAGTTCAGAGACAACAGGGCTGGAAAAGAAGAGGTGAGCCCTCATGAAAAGGGTCATTGGCCCTTGCTGCACAAGGTACACACCAGAGAAGTAGACTCTCATCTCAATTTTCTATCCCACCCCCAATCACCAGCTTTCTGGTCTTGTCAGCCACAGGCAACTGAGTGGGTAAGAAGTGTGTCGAGCAGGTTAGAGGAATGAATGGACCCAAGGCACTTTGTCTTGTTCTCAGGTTACTCTGGGGAGAAGTCTGAGAGAGCAACAGTGAAGTTATTCCAAAAAGCAAGCTTGAAGGCTCAACCCTGGACATGGATTTCTCCCGGCTCTGATGTTTCTCCACAATTAAAGATAAATCATATGTGAACAGTTTCCACTTTCTGGGGCCCAGGCGCTTGGAAAGATAAGATGCACTCTGTTTCCACCCCAGAACCTCAGGGCAGCAGAAGGCAGTGGCTAACAGGCAGCACTTAGACTGCCTGTGGCTCTCCTTCCATGCTTCTCCTGAGACACAAGTAGCAGGGTGGCACCAGGTACAGGATGCCTCCTGGCCATTTCTTGACAAGATATCTCCATCCATCCCCAACCTCCTTTTGTGCCTTCTGTTCCCACCCACAAAAAAAGTCAGAAAAGGGAGAGAAAAATACAATGAGATCATTGCTCCTAGCAATTATCTAGGCCTTGACAAGTACTTGACTTGGTCAGAAAGAGGAGTCACTTACCGGGGCTTTTTTGTCAATGGGTTTAATGACAAATTTCTTGTCATTGAAAGAGATGTTTCTGATTTCACTCCAGGGGAAGCCTATCTTGGGAGTTAGTCTGTAGAAATGGAGACCAAGAACATCAGGACAAGGACAAGACAAGAAGGACATAGAGGGTTGGTGCCTTGCCCTCTGCCCCTTCCAACTTCTCCCTTGAGGGGGAAGTCTAATTGCCAGCTCAGCCAGTGCCATCATATGCCACCAGGTCAGCTGCCAGTGTTAAGAGTACACAAAGGACCTTCTGATACCACAACCAACATAGTACCCCTTGGCCCAATCTCTGAAGTTTGCTTCTGTGGTACTTTTAGTTGAGGCATAGACCTTGTAACATTCTCTCAAGAGATGCTAAATAGAGCACCATCCCTATTTAAGTGGAATTCTTCCACCCAAGGTTGTAAAAGTTGGGGGGAAGGTAAATAATGAACTCCAGGATTCAGGCATTACATGGAACAAACTAACCTATTAATCTCCATCCTCATCAAGTACAGACTAAAATAATAAAATAAGCAAATGATGTAAGACTGCAGTGAGCAGGATTATAGGCCAAAAGTCACTTATTCATCAGATGGGATTTGGGATTAATTACAAATGATGACAAGGTAGGTTCCAGGCCACTGTTCTCCTATAGAAATATAACGATAGTCACAACTGTAATTTGTAATTTTCTAGTAGCCACATTCAAATAAGTAAAAAGAAATAGGTGGAATTAATTATAATAAAATTTATTTAATCCAATATATCCAAAATACTATCATTTCAACATGAAAATCAATATTTTAAAAAATATGAGATATTTTATATTGTTTCTCACACTGTCTTCAAAATCCAGTGTATATTTTACACTGACAGCACATCTCAATTCATACTAGCCACATTTCAAGTGTTCAGTAACTACATGTGGCTAGTTCTTACCATATTGGGCAGTACAAGTCTAGTTATGTATGATTTGGAGGTCTGAGGGAGGTTGTGCAGGTCACCTGGGCTGGACTGAACTAGGTAACAAAAGAACTGAGATGGGCCCCAGGAGGTATAATCCTGCTCTGTGGTGAGGGTTGAGTCAGGTTCCAGAGTGGCCCAAATAAACTAAGAGAGGTCTGAATTATACCTATCATTCTGCTCATAGATGTTGAGACCCAGGGCATCCACTCCCAGCCACAGCTCTGAGCCTTTCTTGTTCTTGATGCTGAAGTAGTTCACACCATACATCTCCAGGTCCTGGGCAATTTTCAGATACTCCAGGACAGCATCCTCCCTAAAGGACACAGAGTGGGGAATCACAGTGGGGAGCGTGGGAATCAGACCCAAGGAGATAGAAAGCCTGATGGCTCTGCACTTCTGACTAGGACCTTGTCATCAGGGGTGGGAAAGGGGATGGAAGGTGAGTAGATGATGGGGAACAGAGCACAACATAACTTTTGCCAAGCGAAACCTGCTGACAAGAGCTTAAGTCTGAAACTTACAAGGGGAATGAGGGTAAGCTGACCCTTGCTGGCTTCCAGCATGTTAGCTGCCATGTATAAGCAATTTTCTTCCTCCCGTTCATTGGAACAGCTTTTGTATAGGCACATTCTCAGCAGAGGTCAGATGGGGTGATGATTGCAAAATTATAAAGATTTGTTCCACTATTAGACAATCCCCAATCCCCAAATGGTTTGTCATATTTACAGGGCTCCTTCCCCATTTCCTCCTTCTTTATGGCTCAAACTGTCCGGTCTACCAGTTGCCACCATTCACAAAAAAACAAAAACAAAATGGCCTTATAATGGTCCTGATCTGTCTTCTAATCTTTAATTTCCCCCATAAACTGCAAGTGCTAACATCATTCCTGCTCCCCGCCCCCAAATATCCTCCAGCATCTCTAGTTATCTGCCTTTTCTCCTGAGAAGCAACTCTCATTCTCCCTGAAAGGGTGCTGGGGCCCACAGCTGCTAGGGTGGGCTTACCTGAGCATACCCCGGTGCTCCTCATGCCAAACCTGGATCCGCTCCTCCCATTGGTCCTTGTTGAGTTTGTGCTGCTCCAGGACCCTAGAAAGACAATGTGTGGTGAGCAGTTTAAAGCACAAAGCCCATGTGCAGGGGGGAAGGGAAGCCCACTTAGCTCTATAAAGGGTTTATGCAAAGACAATGTGGAATCAGCTCATTAAGGTCACATTAGAAGCAGACTGAAATTACAGCAGGAAGGTGTTAGATTAGATCTAAGGAACTGCCTGGAAGGTAGGAAAGATACAAGAATGGGTGACCAAGAAAGACAATGGGAACACCCTCCTTTGTACCTTTAACCAGAAAATCCAATAATGTGTGTGGTCTCTAAGCACAGAGGTTAAGTATCAAGTCAGTGCTGACTTGCGGGGAGTAAGAGTAAGGATGGGCTTCACAGAGCCATGCACACTCTCTCCTAGATCTTCTTGGTACCAACAGTTTGTGGTTGTGAGAATATTGCTCAGGGATGGGCAGACAGCTTGTAGCTACAAAACAGAGCCTAAATAACTTTGGGAGAAGCTAACAGGCTCAAGCTCCCAGATCTACTAGATGGTAAACAAGGCTTGTTTCAAACATGCCATCTCAGACATTACAGCAATGACTCAGGTAGAGTCCCAGTATATAATCACTATCCCTAATACCTTCAGGTGGGCTGTGTATGTGCTACAGTCCTAGTGGAATGGAGGTTCCCAGAATGAGGTAGAGCTTTTCCTTCCAATCCAAAAGCTTATGAAAATGGCCATTGAATGCAGTGGGGAAAACCCAGGGTTAAAAAAATCAAGAGACTAGAGTTCCAGGTCTGGCTCTGCCTCAATGAGTTGTGGGAACTCAGGCAAGTCAGTCCAAGCACCTCTGCACCTCTGTTTCCTTAGCCAAGAAATAAGGGTAATGCCTGCCTTATTCATTTTGTGTGTTGTCATGATGCTAGAACAAAAATAATGAATGTTTGAGAGCTTTGACGTTTGAAATTTACAGAAGCAGAAAATTCTGCACACTTATCATCAATATTAAAAGGTCATTTGAGCATCTTCTGTCTCTGGCTTGCATATGTCTCTCTCTTCTCTGTCAAAGTCTGATATAAGAGGTCTAAATTAGTGAAAGCGGCTGAGAAGATGGAACCAGGGATGGGGGAAAAACCAATCCATCTCTGGTTCTCTATATAAGCACCTGCCTCCAGGGTAATGAAGTTCTGTAATCAGACAGAGGGGGAAAAAAAGCTTTTTATTTTGAGAGCCATAGAAACAAAAGAGTATGATGCCATATGCAAATGTGTCTCTCTGAGCAGCATGACATGGTCCTCAGGCAAGCGCTAATGGAGAGGAGCAGATCTGACAGCCCTTGTGTAACAAGGATTGATCAGCCTTGGGCCTCAGCCCTCTCTGGCCAGGGAAAAGGCAGCCAGGGTGCGCCCTTACCTCTGGGGCAGCAACTTGTCCCCAGCCAAGTAGCCAGACTTGTGCACCTCTTTATTGAAGTCACCGTACTTGGACTGGACAGCATAGGAGGCCAGCAGCACGGCAGTCTCAGGTGGGCAGTAAATATCATCATTGAGAATGCCCTCCTTCACTTGCAGGAAGAACAGGCGCTGGGTGATGTCCTGGATCAATTCCTCGGATACATCCTCAGGGTAAAATTTGGCCCGGAACTTGAAGAGCAGGGGGCTTTCCTTCCGTACATCCTGGGCAGTCACCTGAGAGTAGCATGAGGTTACGGGCTCTTAAAAAAATAGGTTTTGGCGGTGGGGAGTGGCAGTAGGATGGGGAGAAGACACTGAAAGGTCATCAATTTGGGTAATCCCAGATCGCTGGGTAGCAACCCTTCGGGTAATTCAGGAAGGACACATTACATTCATTGGAGATCCAATTTCATATCCATAATCACTTCTTGTTTGGAATTTCTTCCTGAAATGACCTAACACACCTGATGCTTATAAGCCCTCAAGCCAACAACATTTGACAATATATTCAACTGCCCCCAAATTTTAAGGGTAAGCTTAAGAAAGCTCCTCTTTTAAGGCTCCCCCAGCTCTATAAATTAAGCTAAGTAAAGACTAAGATGTACAACTGAGATCAGGGAATTGGATAAGCAAGAGTACAGACTAGTCTGTCTTTTAAAGCCTGAATTAGGCTCCTAACAGCACCACATTTGCCCAGCAAAAGTCTCCACTCCTTGGGAAAAGAGTGGGGCTCCCATCCCCTATACCCAATCAGGGAAATAAGCCACAGGACAGTATGGAGACCTCCAAAGACAAAGCCAGCCAGTCTGAGGATATTGAGATGAATGCCAGGTTCCTGTACAGATGCTGCTTGGGGTGGAGAGCCTGAACGCACATATACTCAAAATATGCCATTTGGAGTTCAGCTGAGGAAGAAGATCAAGGAGGGAAGCATCCGTATGGGGGTGGTTCATGCATCAGTTTTGTGTTTTTTTTTTGTGGGGGTGTGGAGGCAAGTGGAATGTAAGACTAAGAGACCTTTAACATTCTGTCTGGTTCAAGAGTCTGTGATTCTCTTTTTAGCTAATCTCCTAGAGCCCTTGAGTTTTGCAAAGGAATACCAACCCCTTTTTGAAGTGCCACTAATGGCTTTGGTGTGAAACAAGACAAACTTCAAGACAGAGCTCACAGTGGGAAGGGAACGAGTCCCTTCCTTCTTGGAAGGCCATTCTCATTGTTGGAAATCAAAGCAGTTACAGAGCAAGAGTTTTGCCTTGGATGAGTCCTCTGCCCTTATTCTAATCTGGGGTGGTCAATAGACCACCCAGTGAAAAATACAGCCCTAGATGCCTTGAGTTTGCCAGCTAGCAAATGTTATGCCCCTGAGCAAGTTCTGGAGGAAGAATGAATTCCAAACGCAACAGAGGGATGAGCACTTACCTTCTTATTGAGTTTCAGCCAGGTGGAGAAGCCCTTAGTGTCCTGGTACTGCAGACCAAAAAACCAAACTTCCCTCAGGCCAATAGTTTTCACCACCTGGAAGAGAAAACACAAACAACCGTTGATTTAATGTCTACCCTGTGCCAAGCACAGAGGATACAAATGATCCCTGCCCTCAAAGGGCTTAAAGTGTTCAGGGCCTGACAAGAATACACTTGGGCAGCATCCACGAACACGCCAAGAGATGTCAGCATCTCTCTGCACAAAGTACTTCTGGTGAGGTAGGGATGGGATCTATTACGTATGAGCACTACTACATACCAAGAACTTTACATCCATTTTCTCCTTTAATTTTCACAATAGCCCTATGATATATACAATTAGGCCCATTTTACAGATGGGGAAACTATGGTTCAGAAAAGTGTAGTAAGGTAACACAGCTAGTGACTGGCAGAGTCAGGATTCAAACTAGGTTTGTATGATTCCAAATCCAGTGCTTTCTACAACCTCCCTCCCTTCCTCTACCATGCCATGCAGCTTGAATTCGCAGGATGGATTAGAGGCTAAAGGTAGAGATTGTTGGTTTAACTCCTTGAGTTTCTCCAATATATTATCCTTTAACTTCAGCAACTGGGAGTAATGCCCACACCCTTCAGACTGAGTCCCATTTACAATACCTCAAGAAAGAATGTTTGAAAAGACAGTGCAGGAACTGTGGTATCTGTGCACCCTGAAGCTGTGATGTTCCTAGGGACTGAGACGCTTCTTTCCAACCATTACCAGAGAGAGCCCAGTCATGCATCCCATTACTACTCACACAGGTCGAGGGTGGGAATGAGTGTGGAAACAGGGTGAGTACCTCAGTGTGGTAGCCAAGAGGCCTGACGTTCCAGGCCTCCTGGCTGAGCAGTAGGCAGTAAAGGTAGGCCTGGCAGGGGAAGAAAGATGAGGTCTCCTCTCCAGCCTGTGACATTTAGCATGTTAATGGTTCTGACTGGTGGCTCAACTCCAGCATGCTCACTACTGGGGATGGCAGCAGTGGAGCTGAGCCATATCCTAATGAAGTCATGCTGGCATAAGACAGCCTTCTTTATCTTTTCTTTTTTTTGGGGGGGAAGTAGGGTGAGGTGGATATAGAATCTAAGAAATTTAGCTGGAGAGAGAATCAAGGAACAAGGACCCAGTGTTGCTGATGTCCTTCCCTGTGAATAAAGCAGTATCTCCCCTCAACAAACACACATACACATCCATCCACTGCATCCACAAAGTTTCTGCTATGCATCCAAAGCGAGTCTCCACAGTCATACCTAGAGCTTACAATCTAGAGCTTACAATCTAGAGCTTTAGAGGTCCCAAGGAATAGGTAGCTCATATTTATTAAGCACCTGTTTTGTCCCATTTCATAGATAAAGAAATTAAGGTTTAGAGAGGCAACCTGTCTAAAAACCACAGACCCTAGACTGGAACCCTGAAGTATCTACTCTAGCATGCTGCCTCCTAATGCCAAGGGCTCACAGGAGCTTAGGACACCCAAGGTTCTCAAATGACTAACTGCCTTGTCTCTCTGTTGTCCCAGATGCTCAAGCCAGATAAAGAACTTTGGCCACCTCTGCACCTAGATATGGTTCCTGGCTTTCCCACTATGCCCAGTCAACAAACACTTTGGAGAGAAGCCATGTCCCCAAGTCAACAGCCCTCACTGCTCACTGGGGGGGCATGCCTGGCGGTTATCCTTCCAATTCATAGACTGAATCAGTGAAAGTAAGCCTCACTTCTATCTCCAACTTGCTGTGTGATCTTGAGGCCGCACATTTCCCTCTCTTGGCCTAAGCTTCCCCCATTTATCCAAAGAGAGGCTATGGTTTAGATGGTCTCTTCCTTCTCCCAAGTTCTATCATTCAACTAATTAGGTTACAAGGTTACTTTTCAAGAGGCTAAAAGAATACAACCCATTTCCCACCTACCTCTTGCTGACCTGGGTAATTAGGAACAGGTTGAGAAAAGATAAATGGGGGAGGAGCAGGTAAGGAAAGATGAAAAGGCTTCTGGGATTCAAGGGCCAAGTGAGTACCTGACCCTATCAAATTCAGGCCAAGGAGAAAGTGACCCACTGAAGATGCTGAAGATAAGATGGGCCATCATTAGTGCCAGGATGCTAGGTCAGGGGTGGTGGAGGTGGCGTGAACTGGAAACAGAACTGGTAAAGCAGCAACTGACCTTTGTCTACACTGAAAGCCAAGTTGTAGAGGCTCAAAGACACCAGGACTGAAGGGAATGGGGCAGGCACAGACCAGGTAGCCAGTCCTAGCACCCAGGAGTGAGCTCTGTGGCCTCTTTTTGCACCAACTAGTCTATCTCACTAATGGAGTGGGTGGAGGTGTGATGAAACAAGGGGGATTATGGCAACAAAAGTAGTTCCAGGCTCCAGAGTAGCTCTAAGAAGTTGGCCAAAAAAATAAAAAAGCAATGTCAAAAGGAAAGATTTCAGGATCAGTGGGGGATTTTAACCTCTCAGAGCACTGTGTCTTCCTTTGTGACTATAGAGAAATCAGGTACATATAAATTTTCTGCTTCCTCAGGTTCCAGGACTTGGAGAGAGGAGCGATGTCTCTCAGCCTCTACTGAAGTCCCAAAGTGAGGAAGTGTGGGTATGGAAGGAAGGAAATGTGGTCTGAAATCAGAGTTGAGACTGAAAAATAACAACGGGCAAAAGAGATAACCCCTAAACCTAGACTACAAAGAAATCTCCAATTAAGGTCCACAGGGTGCTGGGAACCATTTGATCAGATAACTCTTGGTCTCATTTCTAAGGCCCAGGTCCTCTGGCTTTGCTTCTACTGAGACCTCAACTCCACAGGAAGGAAAAAACTTATTTTCAAGTGGGAGAGAGAATCTAGCTTCTCGTTCTGGGAACAACCTCTATGGCTCCAGTTGCTAGGGTCCTCACCATTCCACTCTGAGAAATGGCTACATCCCTGAGTGGGGTGGGGTAGGGGAGCCCTTTCTTGCCTCCCTTTGACCCCAGGCAGCCAGTTAATCTGGCCTGAGCCAGCATTTCTCAAAGCTGCCCATGGAAAAAATCCTTAAGTATCAGGAAATGATGAATGCATAATACTCATGGGGAGTGGTAGGAGGAAGAGGGATAATAAGTAGATGGCTGTAAGCCAGAATTTCTTTGAAGCCTCAGGTTTAATCTTAATCATTTGTGCAAATTTTATATTCTACTCCTAAGATACCTATGTTTTAATAATGAAACAGGTAACATCCACAAGTAAAACTGATGCTCCAAGATGTTTCAATCACATTTATTCCACAGCTTTTTGCGCCTCTTAGAACTTGCCACATACACCTGGAGGAACTCAGGCTTCAGTTGTAAGACACTGGCTTAAGAAACTGGAGGCTGTGTGTTCTACTCAGCCCCACAACACAAACCTGAGAAACAGACTGTGGAGAGTTATAGGGTCCAAATAGCATGAACTGGAAAACTGAGGTCCAGTAAGGAGAAAAGATTTGCCTCTGAGAAAATCTTCACTACTTACTAGGAGCTTCCAGATATAATAAAGAACTCCTTTTATCTCTCTTTTTCACATGTGGAGACTGCCTACATCTGGGGTCCATGAGGGGAAGGGAGAACAGGTCAGTTCTGGAGCCCAGAGCCCCCCTCCCTGTATCCCCCACGTATCTATCTGAGTAAACAACTAGTGACATCATCAACTACTTCGTAAGTTCAGAGCAGGATTAGGAAGCAAGGCTGGGGCCTCAAGAGAGAATTTTGTGAGAAATTATGTGCATAACTGCATCAATGTCTAAACACCTGAGGTCCACTGAGATCCCATTACAGATTTGGCAGCAACTGTATCAGCCACCCACCTGAAAGCATATCAATGCACAACTGGAAATGGATGAAATTCTCCAGGAGGCACTACCACCACCACTGTTTCTGCTACTCCATACTGCCTGTGCTCAAGTGGACAGAACCAGTTCAGTTGGGGTTCTAAGTTTAGGGACCAAACTTTCCTCCAGTCAGTACAGGAGCAGGAAAAGGAGCACAACTGACAAAATGTGCTAGAAAAATTGGAAATGCCAATCAGTTGCTCTGGTTCAAGCCCCAGCTACACCACTTCCTAGCCATGTGACCTTTAACAGGTCTTTTCCCCTTTCTAAGGTATAAGATAGTGATACTACTATTGTAACAACAAATGTTATTTAACAAAAAAAAGAAGAAAAGAAAGGGTTGAAGAGTCCTCAATGAAGAGTCCACAAGACCTGAGTACTTTACTAAGCCAACAAAGCTTCCTGATTTCATGGCTCCCTCATCTGAACTCCCAGGGCAATTTGTACCTACTTATTCAGCCCTTAATAAGAACAAACAGCATTAAAATGACTGCTATGCATCAAGCACTTTACTTATCTGAGGATTAAATAAGATCACAAAATCTCTCTTAGATTAGTGTGAGCACCATTTTACAGATGAGGAAAGGAAAATCTTGAGAGGTTAAATGAGCCATCCAAGGTTACACAGCTAAGCAGCAGGACAGAATTTGAACCTAGGACTGACGCTAATTCCTATGCTCTCTATGTAACCTGAACCTTAGGGGTGTTTCTTTCATTCTATGTGGGAGGAGAATTGCATGTCTTTACCTATGCCCCCAAGTTCTTTAAAGGGCAGGGATGGTCTTTGATAGAGCTAGGGATTCTCCTTGAGACACAGTAGACCTTCAGTCAATATTGAATGAGTGAAAGAATAGATGAATGCTCTGAGATTTCATCTCCCTTCTAGAGCTCAAAGACCTTGCAAGGAGGGGAAAGCTAGAACTAGACTCTAGCTAGAGCTAGAGACCAGGGCTGGGGAGGAGCCCGGATACCCAAAATGGAACTCAAGGTGGCAGTACTGCCCCCTAGTGGCACCTAGGTAATCCAAGATCAAGAGCCCTCTGAAGACTCCCTGGATGGAATGGCTATAGTAAACACTTATTTTCTCCCCTCCCTAACTGTGAGCACATCCACAAGAAGAAACAGGGTTAAATGGGAGGAACTGTGGGCACCACCTCCCTTTCCCACCAGGCCCCAGGCCTCCCTCAAGCTATGGCTTCCCATTGTTGACTGTTATTTATCTCTAGTGCCAAGGATGATGTTTCCTCTCTAGTCAGCTTCCTCTCTGGTCATCAGCCAGGTGACTGCTGGGTTCCAGGATGCCCCAGGGATTTTGTCAATTCGTCCCAAGGAGTCTAGCTCCTTCCTTCCAGACCCCGGTTCTGCCAGGGCAGCCTCCTTGAATGACGGGTCTCAAGAGGCAGACAAAACGGACTTCCTCCCTCATGTCTCATCAAGTCAGAGAGAGGGAAGACCTCACATCCCCCAACTGCCTGTGAACACATACCTCTGTGGATTCCCATCCAGACCTTCCTCAGCCCCTAAGAGGGCCAGGCGCTCAATTCCTCATCTTAAACTGAAATCTGTTTTCCTGTAGTTTTCACCTATGAGATCCCAGGTCTGCTCATTTTGAACCCACAAGGCATGACTTCTCCCTTCTTCCTGTCACAGCCCCTCAGAGGTCTGAAGACAGAGAACACATTTCCCCTCGAGTCTTCTCCAAGCAAACAGCCTCAGTCACCCCCCAAGCATAGCAGTGCAGTGGGAAAAGGTAGAGTTTTGCAGTTAGATCTGTATTTGAAACCCTATATCACAACTCACTAACTACATGACCTATGATATGTTCTTTTACCTTTCACAGGCAAGGTCATTGTGAGGACTAAAGCATCTAGCCACAACTAGTCTATAGTAGGTGCTCAATAAATGATACTTCTCAGAACAACACTGATTTTCCAGAAGGAAAGTCATGAACTTCCTAATTTCTTCCCATTCCTCTCCCCAACCAGTGTGAAAGACTCAAGACTCTTAAGGGCTTTCAGAACTACATACTGATCTGGCCAGAGCTCTCTACCATCTAGGCTTCTCCCAGAAGCACACCCACAATACCCAAACCAAACCAACACTAAAAAAAGAATTACCAGTTCTTACGGCTTTTCAAAGTTAATAAACCTCTCTGTTCAAGGATTTTTCTACCTTAGGCTCTAACTCATACCTTCCTCTCCTTCCACAGCCATTCCCCTCCAATGCAAATGCACAAATATCCCAGTGTTGAGGGCAGGGGATGGTGTCATTTGGTTAGAGATGGGGTATAGAACCAGGGCTCCAGGAAAGAGTCTGGGCAGAGGCCAAAAAGAGCCTAGGACTCCCAGCTGGGCCATAAAATCTGCACTAGCTGGCACCCTCCATTAGCTGCTTTCCAGAATGATACTGCTGTCTGAAGCAGAGAGCTCTACAGCCTATGTCTCATATGGACACCTTCTCCCTTTTGTCCCAGAAACAGTAAGAAGCCAGTCAAGGAGGAGATGTCTCTCCTGCCAGTTAGCCTTCCCCCAGAATATGTCAACATCTGATCATACTCAAGTGAAGCATTTTCTTCCACTTTACAGAAAAGAGTAGTCTGAAATCCAAATAGTGGGGATATAAATGGGAGAGAGATATGGAATGCAGAAATAAATGTCAGAGATAAATTCGTAAGAGATAACCAGATTTGAGAGATCAGTTAGACATTATATAAATGGAGAAACTGAGGCCCAAAGACGGGAAAGGTTTGTTTAAAGTAACATGGGGAGTGAGTGGCAGAGCCAGCCCTAGGGCCCAAGATTTCCCACTTTCAGTGACCTTTCAACTTCACCAGGCTGTCCCTTTAAAAGCGCTCCAATATAAAACCTGCATGGAAAGGGAGAATGCAAAACCTTAATATAATCAAAATGTATTCTGTCATTCTAGACTAGCACTGTAACCACTTGTGAGCTATGTGAATGTCAGCATATTACTTTACTTGAAACTTCTGAAAATTAGCCAATGAAAACCCTGTGGATCACAACTGAACATTGTCCAATACAGCACTGGAAGAAGAGCCCCTTAGGTTGGAAAACACTCAAAATACACAGTGGCTGCAACAATGGACTTGCGCATACCAATAAACATGAAGATGGCACAGGACCGGGCAACATTTCCTTCTTTTGTACATGGGGTTGCCATGAGTCGGAGCGAATTCAACGGCAACTAACAACAACTAACAGCAACATCACGTGACATTGCAGACTTGGGGGCATATTCAAGCTGTCCTCAGATTTCTAGCCACCCCTTCCTTTCTCTTACATGGAGACCCGAATGGAAAACAGCCCCCTTTCATCCTCATCTTCATTCTCCCCTTGTCTTTCCTCTCGTCAGTCAGGAGTATTCATACGAATAGAATTAGCCCATTTGAACACAATTTCCTTTTCCTTTCTTACTTCCCCTTCCCAACTCTGGGAAGGTTCTCAGACAGTAGAGGGGCCTAGTGGACAAGGGAGAAAGGGAAGCAAGAGGGCCTGGAGAATCTATCACAGCCTCACCAGCAGCTGGTGGGGAAATGGGATAATGGTCTGTCTGGAGATGTCCCAGACTCTGGAAATGGTAGCCTCATTTTCATTCCTGGAAGTCTGGCCACTGATGGTGTATCCCCTTGGCGCCAGGGGAGTCTCTGCAAACTGAAATATTCTGTGGCTTTCATCCTGGATATTACATTATACAGCACATTCCTCCTGACAATGATGATTAGCAATGAAGCGATACACCTTAGGTTGGAGATGGGAATGATCACGTCATTTACTGGGAGTAAGCAATTATCTCCGTGGCATGCCTGCAGGAACAGAAGTACACGCCTACTGCATCCAATATCCCCAGTGGTGTCCTAAGTTCCAACATTTCTTTGAGGGAAATGCACTTAGAGCTTACTACCTCAGGGGAAATAAGTTGGTTTCCTTCTACTAGGAAGCAAAAAATGTGACAGAAAGGCTGTGTTATGTAGTGGTAAGAATACAGGCTTCAAATCCTAGCCAGATACTAACCAAAACCAAACCTGTCGGCAGCGAACCTATAGGACAGAGCAGAACTGCCCCACAGGGTTTCCAGAGAGTGCCTGGTGGATTTAAACTGCCGACCTTTTGGTTAGCAGCTGTAGCTCACTGTAGCTCTTAATCACTGCAATTAAGTTATTTAATGTCTGAATTTCAACATTAAAATGGAGAGAAGATCATTAACATCTCTCAGAGATGAGAGGAAGGTTCCATGTGCTAACATTTTCAGAGCATCTAGCAAGTCATAACCCCCTTTTCTTTTCTCCCATGTTCAGGACCAAGGATGGAATTGGGGCCATCCAGGGTGAAGGTTGCCAAAGTTAAACTTTTCCTCCTTTGCTTTTAAGGCTGGGGTCAGCCTTTGTTTCAACCCATTTTGGAGGAAGTAAGTAGAAGAGATTCCCTAGCAAGAGGCAGAAAGCATGAATAGCTGGCAATGTGGTGGGAGCTAATGGGAGAAGGGGAGGAGGCTAAGGAGCAAGAGTCCCTCCCTTACCTGGTCAAACAGCTGCTTGCCGGTGGTGTTGGGCTGGATGGCAAACTCCAGTTCTGCATCCATGGTGGTCACACGCACATTGATCTAGGTCAAGATCAAAGGAAGTGGGTTAGTCATCTGGCTCTGTGCTCAGCAGAGCCTGGGACAAACGTCTCTGTTCAACCACAGAAGAAGGAACTAGGATGTTAAGACCCTGAGCAACTTAGGTATTGGTGGAGGGGAAGGAGGAATATTGAAACAGACAGATAATAACTCAGCCCTGCTCGCAACCAGCCTATTAAAGACATAAAACACAGCCACAGAGCAATGTTTATCAAGGGGCAAACAAATGAATGAAAATCAGCATACTACCAAGAGAAAACAAGTGTTGACTGTACTTCTTCTTCTAGAAAGCCTTCTCCACCTGCACCAGCCAGGTCCAGCCCACAGCATTCTTTCCACCTCTAACGTTTTTGCAGAGGCAATTCAAACAGGATAAAGAGCACCGGGTTCCAAGCCTAGCACTGTCATTGGCTCAATCTACAACTTTGGTTATGTCTTATCCCCTTCCTGGGCCTTAGTTCCCCTCATCTGTGCAAAGGCAGGAATTGGGGGGGGGAGGGGAGTCAATTAGTCAATTAGTTAATTAGCCATTTCAGTGCTGACATCTGTGGTTCTATATACTGCCTTGCATTGTTAATACTTCCTGTATTTATATTTCATTGGCCTCCCTAGGCACAAGAGAGGAAGGGGGCCTCAGCAGAGGTGGGTCTGGGCAGCACAGACATGTTACCAAAGCCAAGTCAGCAGAGGGACAAAGAGACAGGGACAGGTCCAGACAAAAATAGCAGGTAGCCACATATAGATTTCACAGGCACTAGAAAAAGTCTGTCCAGCAGCACCACAGAAGAAAGGCCTGGCGATCTGCTTCCATAAAGACTACAGCCAAGAAAACCCTTAGTGGCAGTTCTACACATGGGTTTGCCATGAGTCAGAATCAACTCGACGGCAATGGGTTTTGTTTTGGGTTTTTTTGTTTGTCTGGAAGAAGTATCCTTCATCTTTACAAACAGATCCCCTAGCCCAGGTCAATGATAGTTGAAATTCCACGATTAGAGATTTGTTTCTTTGGCTTAAAACTTGGTAGTAATGATAGCAGCAGTAATCACAACAATAGGCAGTAGCTTTCATGTATTGAGAATTACTACTTACTAGGCACTGAACTAGGTGTTTCATAAGCATTACCCATTTAATATCGGCAATCATCCTGTGAAGCAGACAGTATTATCTCCACATTAGGGAAGAAGAAACAATCGTTTAGTCACATTACTAGTAAGTGGGGGAACCAGGGTTTGAACCCAGGTCTAAGTTCAAACCCCACATTTTGTTTTTCAAATCCCAGGCTAAATTCCTCTTACATCAAAATGCAAAACATCTCCCATTTAAAAGAAATCAAAGACTAATCTATTTTTTTTTAATTTATTGGATATTTTGCTTAAGTAATACATATGGTACAGCCGTAGGGTGGTTGTTATATGGTTATATAAAATATTTACAAAGACTACTTCATAACAAGGAAACATACTTCAGTAATATTAAGTGAGGAAGAGCAAGCAACAAGATTGCCTACAGGACATGAGCTTAACTTTGTAAAAAGAATGCATACAGAGATGATCAGAATCATACCCAAGTGTTAGCCAGGCTTGGTTTTGGGATGGTGATCTTATGAGTGTCTTTCCCCTTCTTTAAATTAAAAAAAAAAAATCTACATTTACTAGTATGCTCACATATTACTTATACTATAGGGAGGGGGAGACTAAAAATAGAATTGTCAAAGATTCAAATCCCCATGGAGTGGATAAAACATTAAGCCTTATCAGTCTTTGACATCTCTGGGCCTTTCCTGAGCACAGGGGTCAGGTAGCCAGAAGGAGGACACCAGACAGCCATTTTACTAGCTAAAGAATTCTGATGAGGACCAGGCCTGGGGAACAACCTTGCAAATAAATCTCAACAGGGAGCCAGGGAGGAAATCTATTTCAGGATTGACAATGGGACAGGAAAAGCCCTGAAGGCATGAACAAGTAAGGCAAGTACTTCACTGGGAGACAACAGGCAAGATTAGCTACTTTGACTTGGTGTTACCTTAGGCATCCTGCCAACCCAGTGACTCCTGTAGAACAGGCAGGGGGTCCTAAAGTAGGGGAAATGAGGCCTAGTGGGCTGGAATTTGGGGGCACCATGCTATATGAGTTGAAATCAACTCGATGGCAATGGGTTACTATATCCAGCTTCAAACCACCCTTCAGTTGGGTCAGGGGAGAACTCAAAACACCAAAGACCAAGGGGACAGAAGAGAGTGGAAAAGGGACAGTGGCATTTTAGTATTGAGAAACAGTTTTAATTATCCTAGAATCCAGATTTCTGGGTCCATGGGGTTGGGGTGACCCACTCAGGCCATCTGCCCTTAGGTGTTCTTTTGAACCTTGAGCCTTTAAGGAACTGTTTTCCTAAAGTCACCTTCAAGTCAAACAATAGCCTAGTAAGCTGTTTAGGGGAGATTGTTTTGCCTCAGGCATTGGGCTCTTTTAGAGAATTATCTACATGCAACCAGTTTCTAGGAGCAGGAACCCCAGTGTCTGACTGGAAAATGTATGGCATGTCTTTAGGAACTCTGTTTCTTCAACTGACTGACCCTGGAACACTGCACATGTTCTGATGCCATCTTCTGAGAAATCAGCCATGACAATGACCTACAAATTGTATCTACTCACAATAAATATATTCTGTTACACTAATTTTTGGTGTTTCTCTGAGCATTTAGGTTTTTGACAGTATATTGGACTTCATTCCCACCTAAAGGTTTGTGTCTTATTTACTGTTACCTCTCCAGTGGGTACTCACAAGATGTTGTTTAAATGAATGGGTACTAAGCAAGAGGATATAAGAGAGAGACAGATACAGCATAACATACACATTCAGAAGTAGGAATATTTTACATCTTGACCTTTTTTGCCATGGAATCTTCTGCCAATCTGGTAAAGTTTATGGATCCCTTCTGAGAATATTTGTAAATGCATGAAATAAAGTAGATGCAAGAAAACCAATTATATTGAAATAGCTATCAAAATTTAGTAAGTATTTATTATCGTATTATATCATGATCTAGCACTGGGCCTTATTAGTTATTACTACTCTAATCTCAAATTTGTGTTGCACACAAATGATATTTTGAGGAATCTACAATAACTAAAATATGACATAAAAAAATCTTGGATTTCCATTGTTGATAAAGTAACAGGTACTGCTATTGTGTTGTTGTTGGGTGCCATCAAGTCAATTCCAAGTCACAGCAACCCCATGTGATGGGGTAGAACTGCCCCATAGGGTTTTCTTAGCTATAATCTTTATGCAAGCAGATCAACAGGCCTTTCTGTTAGCAGCCAAGAGCTTAACCGTTGCTCCACCAGGGCTCCTTGATACTGCTATTACTATTGTGTTTTTTTTCTTTTCCTACATTCATAATTGAAGGAGAGGCTAAATTTCAGTGAGATGTTAGTGAAAACCAGTATCTAATTTTCCTCCAACCAAGTCCATAAAGCCATCACACATCAAATTCTATCCATGGATCCCATGAAGGTCTGAGGACTCTAGGTTAAGAAGCCTCTTAGAAATTTATTTCTATTCACTAAATATTAATAGAATACTATCTTTTAAGGAAAGGAGACCTGGTGGAGCAATGGTTAAGTGCTCAGTTGCTAACCAAAAAGTCAGCGGTTCAAACCTACCAGCTGCTCAGCAGGAAAAAAGACTTAGGGATCTGCTTCCATAAAGATTTCAGTCTAGGAAACCCGATGGGGCAGTTCTACTCTGTCCTATAGGGTCCCTATGAGTAGGAATCAAATTGAGGGCACACAACAACAACAACGTGTGTAAAGAACTAGACAACAGAGCTGTAGGACAGGTGCCTACCCTGAAGGCACTTACTGAATACAACAGAACTATAATATACAAGGGAGACTCTGAAAAGTGCCATAGCAGAAGAAGAGTGAAACCCTTCTGTGGAAATTAGGGACCACCATTCAAAGTAATATTTGCACTGACCATTAAGGACAAGCTGGATTTTGAAAAAGAGAGACTGGTGGGTGAGGGGAAGCATATCCAAGTGTTCCAAGTAGAAAAACCAATGTAAATGATGGCCCAGGAGGAGGCAAGGATGCAGACAGCCTGTTTAGAGGCAAATACATAGGCTTACTTCCAAGGTGAATGAGGTCTACAGGGAGAAGAGAGGGCAGAAAGGTTGAGAAGGCAGGTGGAAGGCTTTGAAGGCTATCCTAGAAAGCTGGGCTTTAATTTTGCCAGCAGTGGCCAGCCAGCCTAGAGGTTCTGAGCAGGCTGAGGCACAATCAAAACTGGTTTGTTTGTTTTTTTAATTTTATTTATTTTGTTGTTGTTGAGAATACACACAGCAAAACATACACCAATTCAACAGTTTCCACATGTACAATTTAGTGACACTGACTACATTCTTCCAGTAGTGCAACCATTCTCACCCTCCTTTTCTGAGTTGTTCCTCGCCCATTAACATAAACTCATAAGGTTTCTAGCTAATCTTTCGAGTTGCTGTTGTCACTTTGATCCCATATAGATAGCTCTTAAAAGAGCATAATGCTCAAGGCAGACATTTTTCCCTAGTAAAGCTAAACTATTGTTGGGTTTTAAGAAGAAATCAGGGGATATTTTTGGTTTAAGGTTTAAAGATTATCCATCCTCAACGGCTTGAGAAAATCTGGAGTCCATGAGAATTTGAAATTCTGTTCTGCATTCTTCCCCTTTTGATCAGAATTCTTCTACAGAATCTTTTATCAAAATGTTCAACAATGGTAGCCAGGCACCATCCAACTCTTCCAGTCTCATGGAAAAGGAAGCAGTTTTTCATAAAAGCAATTAGCCACACATTCCATTTCTTCCTCATATTCCTGACTCTCCTTCTTCCTCTGTTGCTCCAGGTCAATAGAGACCAACTGTTGTGCCTTGGATGGCCTGTGCAAGCTTTTAAGACCCCAGGCAGTATACAAAGAACTAGGAGGTAGAACAGAAGCACT